AAAAGCATAAAATAAGTGAATGAAGTACCGACCTCAGCTTTATGTAGACTGCTGTAGAACCTCTCTCCATCAAGTGGGCTGGCCCATTTTTCAGACTGGGCTTTTTCACAACTTTGCACACAGAAAAACATTAGACAGTTTAAAAGAAATCCGGGGTTATGATTTAATTCATGATGGATTTGCCTTATATGAATTTAGTCTTGATTATTTGTCACTGATTCTATGAACAAATAGAAAAACTGCAGGCAGTTTTGTCAGAGGAAGCAGTGGGAAGCTGCAGTTACATAACATCAAAGTAAGTGGAGCTCAAAACAAGCAATTAAAAACTAACAACACCATGCACGTCTTTGCTTCTCTTTTAAGTGCTCGCCCTTTCAGAGCATTACAGTGTAGCCAAGGATGAAAAACTGTGTGCTGATGACATTTTTAAAAGGAAAAAGGGCATCCTGAAAGACAGACAAAGGCCAAGAGTAAAATAACTAGATGGTTATAACTAAATCTACTTTCATATGGCTTCATATAGAGCTCTAAGAGAACGTGGGCGGGTGGTAAAGTGAAGCTTTGGAAAGGAGAAAAAGGGGGAAAAACAGAAAGCACGCAAACAGAAAGTGACGCTCACAAGCTTTCAAATGTTATTTTCATTTTCATATGCGAGTGTTGACGAAAGCGTTTGGTCCTGTGCCAGGTGTGGATGAGTGCAGGTGTCACCTGGTAGTGTTGGGGACGATATTCGTGACAGACGAGCAGAGCGTGTCGCGCCCGATCTTCAACATGCAGCCCGTGACGAGCAGGAAGAACAGGAAAACGCCGGAGATGGCAATAATCACGTTCATCCACACATTCTCCCTGTGAAGGAGGAGAAAAAACAAATAGATGAGAGCGTGAGAACAGCACTGTGCTCTTTAAAGTGAGGCAAAACAGAAGAAGGACGTCAAACTACAAAATGCAAGCTAATGGGTGATTGTGTCGCCATGCCGTGGTATGACACATGCATTTCTGCTTCTCTGTATCAGCTCTGCAGCTTGTGCAGACCTCAGTTTTATTCTGTGCTTCATCGCTGTGGCGACACACGATTTCACTTTAAGTTCAGCTTCAGGAGCTACTTAAATGATGCCAGTTTAAACCTCTGACAAAAATTCATCTTTTTCTAAATGTATTTGTAGCTTCTTTTGTTTATGTTGGCTACAGAGAACAATGTTTACATGTACACTTATTTTCCTGGGTAATCAATCAGTTTAAACTAAAAGAAATCAGCCTAAAAGTGCACGCAGACATCTGTTAAATTCTGTCTACAAAATGCTTAAAATATCCTTTCTTGTGGCTGGCAAATCAAGCTCAAAAGAGCGACACAATGACAGAGCAGGCCAGCATTTATGCAATATTTGAAGGAAAACTACAGACGATTAAAATTGTTTTTAAACCCACAAAAACACTGCAACTCTGTACTTTGTCATGAAAAACACACACACAGCATGTGGTCACCTTTTGAGTTCCCCTTCGCTGCAGAAAGTGTACACCCAGTACACAGACAGAGAGAAACACACCACTGCCACCATGATTGATATGGCCGACACAAAGTAACACAAAGAGGAGGATGTGGACGACTGGACTCCGATGAGCTTGGACGTGGCATTGTAGCTGACCGCTCCGTACAGCATACAGTGACCTCCGAAATTACCCTGAGAAAAAAAGAGAGACAGAGGTTGGGGGGGTCACTAAAAGGCTTGAGTTCCGCTTCACTGTTTCAAGCGCTTTGCTGGACGCTACAATAAGCGCATCAACGGTCGCATCTGACGTCTATAAATGACCAGCAGGGAGCCAAATTGGGCACGAGAGGCGTCTGGGTCACATGATGAGCAAAGCATCCGAACTAGAGGTACAGTTAAAAACCTGCGCGCGCACACGCACGTTCACAATTTCACGTGCATATCACGCATTTCCGAGCGTCTGTTAAGCTAACACAACGAACAGTTGTTGACACACAACAATGTTCGCGTGACACTTCGCTAAACGTTTGTGGTACATTTTTCGAGAAGTAACTTCTCCGATGTCTACAGTCCAAAAACATTAAAAATATCGAGAAATTAGAGTTGAAAAGCCGAAGGTAATGACACAGTGGGCAGGAACTGGACTGAAAGTGGAAGCGCGTGTCAGTTTTTTAATCCCTCGCGCTGCTTTTAATTACCGCGTAACACCCAGAAAACTGCGCAGCTGTACGAAAACAATTATAGTAGCTTGAAAATATAAATCTGTAACACACTATATGCTGAATTATGGTTAAAGGATTTTTCTTCAAAAATAAAAAAATAAAAAATAAAAAAAGAAGTTTGTTTCTTTTTTGCTAAACTTTCTAGGATAGACAAACGCACTACAAAGTCCACCCGGAAGAGGACGCGTACAACATGTAATACATGGAGCAGGTTAGTAAAACTTAGAAAAGTCACCTGGACGATGGTGACAGACGCTGCGGTAACAATCCCGCAGATAAAGCAGCTGATGTAGAGACCCCACTCCAGCACCAGTAGCCCCGCTAACGCCATCATCCAGCAGCAGCTTAGTCCGCGTCTGCAGAGAAAAGAGCTGCTGTGAAGGTAGCAATAAAAAGGCAAACAACTTCCGGTTAGTTCCTTCACAATAAAATACCAAGCCTCCAGCAACCACGATTCGCAAATATTAAGAAGACAGTGAGTTGATTAAAAACAAGGCAAGGCAAAGTAGTAAACGTGTCCGGGTTAATCAATAAAAAATACATGAAAATGTTTTCCATTAAGATTAACACGTGCCAGTTGTTTGTTTAAATAGACTGCACTCTTATTTAACCGCAGACTGCCAGAACATTGTGGAAAAAATGAATCAAGAAATAAGGAAAGGTCTCATATATTTGTCACGACCTTGCCACACGTCTCAAAAACATAATTTAAAATGTTTTAAGCCTGACTTAACTTACCCGTGTGTGCTTCAGCCGGGTTTTATTCTGGAGGTCAAACAGTTTTGATTTCCGGTGATATTGTATCTTTTTTTATTACCTTCACCCACAGTCAAACAGTCCAAAGTGAAAATCGTACGTCCAAACTCCCTTCTCGATATTATTTTGAGCAGCAATAGAAGCTTCCTCGGAGTTTCACCGCAGCGCGTGAATGCGTAAAAAATAGCTTACTTGTCACACGTGGACACTGCTTGTCATAAAGGCCCTAGATCGTTTCTCTTCGCTTAATCAATTAGTTTCATCTGATGACCCAGAAAGATAAACTGAAAGTCTGCAGCTAGACATATGTGTTAATTCACTCATGTTAACGCCTATATTTACGCGGAAGCAAATACTGCATGTTTGTATTGTCTCAAATATGTAGATGGTTCAAGTTAGTCAAAGTCTGAGCTTCTCGAGGGTTAGGAGGTATGAAATGCTAGAGTTAGACACAGTGTGTGTGTGTGTGTGTGTTGCTTCCTTCCCAGAATGCTTAATGAAACCTTGTGACTTTGTGTCCTGTGACCGCGTCATTTTTATAGGGTATATGTCAAACATTTTAAGCCTGTCAGATTCACCTCTGCACTAATAATAAGCTTACTAATTCCTGACACATAGCCAGTGTTACCTCATTCAAGGCTGACTAGAAATAACTAACTGTTTTCTGTAATAACATGCCAAACAATTTCTAATGATATGTCATTAGAAAGGAGCTTCAAAATTATGAATCAGCGCTGTTAGCTTTCATAGGAATTGTTTATGTGATTTACACCACTGGGTTACAAAAGTAAGTGGAAAAACAAATGGTATGTTGCAGAAGGTAATACAAGACAGAAGGTAATAAACTGATGAATGGATTAATAAATAGAAAGAAGCGAGGATTTTTCACAAATAATTCTTAAATGTGGACAAAGAAAGTCTTGCAAAAATACCAAAATAATACTACTATGTTGAGAATGTAACTTCACTTAACTAGGTGACTGGACTCATTGTTGGAAAAACAAAGTAGACATGCCAGTGTGAGTTTGTGTGTGTGTGCTGCTGTCTCAGGAGGCGAGACTAAGTGGTGGGCAGAGCCATCATAAAGTATTAGTGTCAGTGAGCATGTGAAGGTGTTTTTAGATTGAAGCCTAAATGCATGCTGGCACAAATGTTGTACCCCAAGACCCAAACACTAGAAAGCTTCCGTTTGTCTATGTGTGTATCCACAAATCATCACACAAGCCTTGTATCTCTTTAATTCATGATAAGTTTAAACATCAAAATTCACCAAAGTCTGAACGAGGCACAGATCTACAGTAAAGAATACACTATGTACAATATAAAATAGAGGGACGTAAAAGATTACAACGCAAAACGAAAATGTAGGAAACATGCACTTGATAACACGTCACGGATAGGTCGAGGCTGTCGGTCGACATTTTCTTGAAGACAAACCCATCTTTCCTCGAGATAAAAGTCATGATATAGAGCGGAGAGAGTGAAAGTTTCCCCCTTTTTGGAAAACAAATGTTGATATATACTGTATATAATTATATATACTTATTGTGCAAGTGAACTATTTAGATTAGCAACACTTTAAAAAGAATTCAAAAACATACGTAAATATATCAGCAATAAGAGCACATCAAGGAAAGAACAAAACATTAATTATACTGTTTTAAATTCAATATAATGTCCCTCTTGAAAGAACAGCTGTTTTGATTTGACTGCATGTACAAAAGCTTGATAATAATTTAATACTGAACAGAGAGATGAGAGGCATACACAAGCAGCAAAACAAAAAAAACAAAACCCACCGACCAGATCGTGCCATGAAACAAGATCAACTTCATTTGGAAAATCTTAATCTTTTGAACTTCGGATGAAACGTGACGGTACGATGTTGTTGGAGAGAAAATAAAAATAAAAGATAAAATCCTGATGGAGAAGCCCACACACAAGCCAGCGTTAAAAGGTCATTTCATGATGAACGCCCCCTGAGGGAGGGCAGCCCTGAAATGTTTGAGTGTGATTGTTAAGTACTGTTTGTGCGAGATTGTTAATCATCGCACAGCAACATCGCTGCTTTATATTTAAAATGTTTAGCAGCGATTTTAGTAGGAACACTGCTCATTAGTGATGAAGCCGGAGGAGCCGGTTACCTAATCGTAAAAGGTGATGCGCGTTCGGACTGCGGACTGTGTGTCAGAGCGAATCTGAAGCTTTGACTTTTCTGGTTTCCAGCAGTAAGAACAGCCTTCTTGCTCAAATTTGGACAACGCATCTCAAAACGATAGCTATCTCGTGGTAACCATAGCCACCGTTTTTCTGTGACGTTTCTAATAGAACAGTCGATTTCAACTCTGTGGGATTTCCAGTCACGTGTCGTCGCACTTTGTGAAATATCCCCTCGTTGCAATCATTGTGTTTGTAAGGATGGATGTAAAGGTTGTCATTTTTTTTAATGAGACTTTAAAAAGTTGTTTTAAACATAAATATTATTTATGGCAGCATCCTAGAAAGTGGTTCTGGGCCTTAAACCAAACCAACACCTCCAGTTCTCTGTCTATATGTGACCCCCCCCCATTGCAACTACAAGCGGTTTGTTCTTGTTTTCTTCACTTCTCATTAGTACAGCGGGATTTGCCCGGCCCACGGGTCACTGTCAGTCCCCTCTGAGGCCTTCTCCACACCACAGCCTCAATTCATCCTCGAGCCATGTTCCATTATCTACCAGAAATGGTGTCAAACCTAAAATGAGGATGTGGTCCCAGCTAATGAAACAGCAACTGAAAAATGAGCGGGCAAAGAAGTGCTGAATTTGAACCCTAACCCTCTTCAGTGAAACTGAAGCTTACGCCAACAACAGACCTGAAGCGTCTTATCATGTACGTTGGTGCTCTTGGAAACTGGAAGCTTTGCTATGTGACTGACTTTTGTGTCAATGTCCACACTAAAAAAAAAAAAAAGAGTCAATTTGTTCCCATGAACGTGAAGTTCAAAAATTGTATTTTGTGTCTATTTCACAAAACTACTGTGAGAGGGTGCTTTTAATAATAGCTTTAGATTTCATGCAAGCAGCTGGCTGCTGAAGAATGTTTGGAGAAGGAATTCCTGCTCTGTCCATTTTAATTCAATGGTATGGTCACGTTCCTTGATAAGTGCGGTCACAAGACTGCAGTACTGAGGGATTGCTGTTGAGCCTGTATACCAAACCTGCCTGTTAGTATGAGAAAGTGTGTGTATTCCTCTGCAAGTCAGTCAAAATGCTGTAGTAGTTCTAAATGATCTTTTGGATGGTTACATATCAGTTTGTGCTGTCTGAAATGTACCAGTTTCTGAATGATTTAATGCACGTAATGCCTTGTTTTAGTCAAATTATGTCAGAGCATGCATTTGTGCACATGGACCAGATAAAAGCTGTGCAATCATTAGCCAACTGGACAACCTGGCAGCCTGAATGCATCTGGTAGAGGACTGTCAAGTTTACAGATAATTTTGTATATTCCTTTCTTCCAGCAGGGGTCGCTGTCTCTCCCCGTCCAAATGGCTGAGTAAAACTCTCTCAGAGCCACTTCAGACACCTCGATGAACCTCTCTGGAACCTGCACACAAAAATATGATGTCAAGGAGGAAATGTTTATTAGGAAGTCTTCTGGAAGAGAAAAATCCATTTTCACTTTAGTTTAGTATCTGAATCTGTCAGTCACATATCTATCTACCTTATCTAGAGGGATTTAAAACTGAGAAACTTATGTTTTTCAGTGAATGTGAGGTTTTTATTGTCTCTGTACTTTCTAAAAATCTCATAGTTTCATAGCCTTCACAGGAAGAACATTAGAATACCTGTTATTATAATGTGCATTCAGTGCACCCTCACAGGTGTTTTCACTCACTTCTCATTGATTATTGTTTATAAATGGACCTATTCTTTCGCCGCTATGACGGAAAACACGTTAGAAGCGAACACGATCTATTCACAGCTGAACCGCACACAGCTTTAAGCCGAGCTGAGGCTCAATCAAATAATAAACTGACAAAAATCTGTGTAGGCGAGAGTGACTTTTCAAACTCGAGCAACCTTGTGACTTTGTTTTTACGATCACAGAGGTGATTCGGTTTTTCAGCGCTGCCTGAACATTTCCCGGGATACATTGTAGCCATAGTAGTTTTAGCGTTCTCAATACCTTTTTAAATCCAATGACGTCTGACAAATAACAGATCACCTTGGGTGATAAAATTAATCATCATCTGTAGAATTGGAAACTAATGTGCGATGATTGTTTTATGATAGTGTGTGTCCTTCAGCAGGTCAGTGAGATATAACAGTGCTTCATTTTCTGTTTCCTTTTCATGCACAAACTCATACAAGTAAAATAATTTCTCTGCTCACTAAAGGTAATAGCACATTACACGAAATAATAAGTGCTTTTCATTTCAGCGGTGTAGTATCTTTTTAGTGTATATCTTCATCTTTACGCTATACATGATTTATTGAGGTTTATTTCCTCCTTAGACTTATCGGCTGCTCGGAGCTTACCAATTAATATCAGATCAGGACTTCATTCAGAGTCCAAGCAGCAGCCATATCTGCACTTTTTGACCTCTGAAGGACAAAACAGCTTGAGTCCTC